GTGTGAGATGGGTGTTTCAGCTTGGCCTCAGCAAGACCTTCATGGTCGTAGACGGTCCCGTTGCCAATGAGCTGGACCTGGGGAACACGAGGGATCGTCTTGAGGTCGGGATGCAAGATAGACTTCTTCGTGCCCTCCGTCTTGTTATTGCCGTGGCCGTAATTCTCAGATTCAGGATCAAAGGCCTGGAACGACAGTCAGGTCTTCCCCGCAGCACATGCAGATAAGGCATACCTTGGTCAACGCATATTGCTTCTCTGGCGACAGGTCGACGCCTCGGAATAGCAGAGCATCGTGCTGAGGATGATAAGCCTCGAGGATATGCACGAAATCAAGCACCATACCTTGTACAGAGCATCCCGGATCTCCTGGAACTGCTCTGGGGTAAAGTTCCCCGGATCTACTCCTTTCACTTGACGCCCAAAGGTGGTGAACTTAGTGGGATCAGCAGAGGCTGGCAGTGGGAACGGAATGAATTCGATAGCCATTATTCGTTGAAGATGATGGTAGAAAGCAGAATTGGGTTCGCTCTAATGATAGGATTTCCTCATGGACGTCATTTGATCTGGATCTTGGACTCGGAAATCTCCTATCGCCCGGCCGAATTGACAGACAGCGACAGACTCGAGGCAGACAGTTTGTCGAACATTTGAGCAAGATAAAGAGCGTGTCGAAGGCTGGTGATGGTGGGAATCAAGGAAGAGAAGAAAATTGCACAATTCCCTGCTTCTATTGCAAATTCCCACGAAGCTTGTGAATGCGCATCGAGTCTGCAATAAACAAAGTCTGATCTATTCAGCCTTCTGGTTCATAAGGTTCGTAGCAATATACAAGTACAGTAGCAACATAGATAATGTACAGTAAAATGACCATGAACCCATAGATATACACACATACAAGAGAAAAAAAAGCTCACAAAGACGTTGTCAAACCCAGAGCACGAGCACCTGCACCCGAAGCCCCTTCCCATCCCAAAAATCTCTCCGAACCAGTATCCACCGAGCTCGACCACCCATGGTAGCCCGTCTTCTCCCCAGCCGACCACGAATTTCCCGTACTTCTCGTCCTCGCCCACACCGAGATAAACAATATACGTTTCTGCTTGCGATTCAGAAAGAACCAGTGAGAGGACCACAACAGCGCCCCACGACGCTTCCTCGTGGGATAACTCAGGCCAGACTCGAAACTATCATCCGAACGACTGCGTGGCGTCATAGGTATAGGCGCCGACTTGGCCTCGTCAACATTGTAGTCGTCAAACTCGAACAACTCTTCTTCGTCTGTCGACTCGTCTTCATCACTGGCTGGATACTCGTCGTCGTCGCTCAAGTCGCTAGCGTGGGGATCAGCCTCTATCTCCGGTACGTACGAGAAGACCTCGCACTCGGAGAGGCCTATCACGTCGTCGAGGAGGCGGTAAATGAAAGGGTGGGTGCCAGACTCTATCGGAGGTGGTGCATAGGGGCTTTGGAGAAGGCTGTTGACTGGCGACGAAGACGTGGGTTTAGGCTCCGGGAAGAAGTCGGAAGACGTGGGCGGGTAGGAAGAGTACGTGCGCGGTGCACTGACGCCAGCCCGATGTGGTGATACCAGCGTCGTGCTGAGGGCGTTGAGGACCGCTGCTCCGCTCTCCTCTTTGTTGAAATGCCCAGGTCGTACATCCGAGAACTCGTAGTCAGGGAATGCGATGTTGAGGGTGGCAATGAGAAGATAAAGAGTCTTCCGTGAGGCATGCTTGTCGATGGGCCCAAAAGGCGTCATCTCCGGCTCATCGAGAGAGAGCCAGGAGGGAACTGGCGGTGAATGGGCTGCCTCGTCCTTGTAGGCATTCTCGAGCGATCGGAACAGCTTCTTTGTCGCGCTTGACGTTCTTGCAGCTGTACACCTCTATCCGAGTATGTACAGAGCATTCTGGACCTTCGTGGGTGAGAGATTGGGCGAGACGAGAGAGCGCTGGTTGATCAATGTACTTCATGGCGTCAGAGCGGAGTCGTGGGAATCGTTGCCTGTTTCGTCCTTGCTGATAAGGCGTCGGGACTCGGATGCCACTCTTCGCACGTTCGACCAATGCCAATATCCATCTCGTACGGACCAGCGAACAGAGGACATTGCTCCGGTACTCGAGGTAGCAGCAACGTGGACCAGATAAAGAAATATCATTGACTCGCCTGTCGGGTTCTTTAACCGCCACAACTTCTCGCCTCTCCGACAATCCCAACACAGTCTAGTCTTGCCCACGGTCGTCTCTTGACCCCTGAAGTCGTATCCTTGAAGGTGGATGCGGGGGCGGTTGGTGCATAGTATCAGCTAGTGGTGGACAGGTGTGAAAGAGGAATGTATCACTTGCGGTGTTGGGTATGACTCGGTCTGTGGCTTGCTGGTGAGTCATGTACAGTTCCACCTTCCCTTGCATTAACGCGACGTTCAGGTATAGGTTATCGCATCTTTGTATTATCTCGCCTGTACCGTACGGTTGCAATATCATCGTCTCTATGTAGACCTGTATTCGGTCAGAAACGATAGCGGCGACGAGCTCGGAGGATTTACGCACCAATCAAGGAATATCAAGACACATATAATCACCTCTGATCGCGGGTGGGTACCCTTCATGACCGCCACCGTCCATCGCCCAGTACATCGTCCACATCGATCCACATCTAAGAAATCGGTAAGATTAATGGCGGCAGCGAATAGAGAATACGTGCGTACCAGTACCCCATAGAAGATTGTATATAGCTAATTGGTACTCCCAATAGCGATACTAGCTCAATTCCTACCAATGGCTTCTACATCGACTGTAGGATGGATATTAGACTGGCGACGACAAAGATGAGGAGCTTTACTCACAAGGACAGTGAGACTACCCATGTCGTCCTTAGAGGACGCCATCGATGATCGTGGTTAGTGGAAGGGTTCCATCGACGAGTCATCGATGAAGACGCGTCGACAATTTCAATTACTTATTTATTTTATTATTTTATTATCGATGAGATCAATGACGTAGACGACCTGTCTGAGCGTTTCGGTAAGGTCTCATTTACTCAGATATGCCAGTAACTAAAAATTTTCATCAGATGGATCATAATTTGCAGATGCACATATTCCAAGCTTCTGCCGCAGTTCTATCCTCAAGGCTGTCCTGACGAAACAAGTGAAGTCCTCGTAGGCATTCATAGTGTCCAGGTTCAAGACGATAGTGGACACTGATGCAGAGAGGCTATTACCCAAATTCTGGCTGAGGCGCTAGAGTTGTCGCAGTGCCCGCTATCAAAGACGATGCTTTATGTACGGTCGAACTGTGTATCATGTGGGGGTCTGCGCTACGGGTATCAAGAGTCTCTTCTATGGGTGGGCCAACGACAGATTTAGTGGATGTGAGAGCGTCTTAGGGATGAGCGAGTACGTTGTCACATGTATCACTCCGATTTTGGCTCATTTTTGCCTTAGTACCTATCATCCGGTGCCACAAAGCTCTTAGTGGATATCTGCGCGAGGAAGTTATTGACATTCTTCATCGGTTCTATATAACGGAGAACATAAATGGTGTGTAGCTACATATCCAGGTTTTTCTTCCCCTTCGCTCATGACAGCCTTCGTTCAGCCAGTTCCAAAGTCGAAGGCGAACCATGCCCCCATGGCAGAATTATTGCCAGAAAGGTCTTAATATCCGCGAGTAATACAAAAGCTGAATATACGACACTTCACGTCTCGAGGACCGTCCCAGCTGATGAATCGGCGGAGGTAAACGGCTCACTTGATTCTACAAGACCTGGCGATACCCTCCGGGCAGCCAATTTACGATGCCTACGACCAACAGATGGTTTTGATTAGCCTGGCAATGCTTACTTGCCTCTGTGCTATACATATTAATGGACTTGATTTAGCCCCACGATAGCTGCTATATTTTTCCTTCCATGCTAGCAAGAAGACGGAGAATTGCCTGAGAGACTTCTGCGCTTTTTATCGATCTCAGAAACTGCCGCAATACCCGTGGCTATTCCAGGACAATACCATAGTTCCATCCACTAGATCGATTTTCCGGAGAGTAAATTAGGTACTTGGAGTATGACGGTTCCCCCCCCCCCCCCCCCTTTTCGTACTCTACCAATAGGTCTACTGGTGCGTCTCTTCTTCTCTTACCGTCTTTCCTCGACTTAACGAGGAGGGAATAGACACTGGTGTTTGATTGGTGTGGTTCAAATAGCTATTTCTCGGACCTTGGCGCTATTCGCAGAGTTCGCATACCCGGTTTTATGGCGCGCGGTATGAAAACGTCGGGGCTAGCACATGGGCATCTGGCAGTGTTATTCGTGCCATGTATACATTCTTTTCGGCGGCATAGGTACATTGTACCATTTTCCGAATGACTAGTGATTTCAATAAGCCAAATTCGCGCGCCGACCGGTTTCAACGTATGAGAACCGAAGGCTATACATATACGCTCCCGGGGAAGCATAATAGAATCTGTATGCTTGCCCACGCAATACCTATCTAAGCTTCATGCATTGTCGCTCTACTCACAGCGAGACGGCTGAGTGATTAAAGTGCGATTCTTGCTCCTCCCTCACATCCAAATTAACGGCTTATTTCTCTCCCACCTCCTTAGGATCACCGGCTAATAATATACTTTACCCGGTGTTAGCGTCTACGGAGGCTGTTGCGCTCCGTTTGATGTATTCGTCCGGCTTATCTATTCTTATGGACTATGCAGAATGATGAATCTGACAATCGTCTCTTGTTTTTTCTTCAGCATTTTGCACGAAGACATTCTTGTACCTTGCTGGACTAATAACACTTAGCACGAACGGTGCTGCTCTTAACAAGACGTGATTCATATACCAACACTGATGCTTCACCGACTTACAATCAGGTCACGAAATGTTGTGGGATATAGAATGAAGCCCATCTTATGGCATTGACGGTGATCATTTTGAAACTTGATGGCCATCTTTTTGATATAATATTGCGTCTGATTCAACTATCCCTCATTCTCACAGTATCTCACTCTTCTTCTCCCCTTCCACCTTAGAGATGAGTAGCGAAATTTTAGATCCCTTTGGGGGCGTCGTCATATGTGAGTAAAACTACAGTCTTCATTCGTATGGTTAGGTTGAACCGCGCGAACTTCTAGCTATATTTATTAGCTTCCTCCTTTTGGGTGCTATGTTTGTGCAATTGTACATCTACTTTGATCGCTATCCCAGGTCAGCATAACTATCTTCTTTTATGATTACCTCTGATTCATTCTCCAAGGAACAATATCTGGCTAAAGGTATTTGTCATAGTTCTCTTTACCTTGGACGTTCTCAACTCTGTCTTGTCCCTTATGTGGTATGGAATATGGCAAGAACAAATTAACCAGTATGCTTAAGTTGTGACATCTTTGCAGGATTTATAATCTCCTGATCGACAATTGTGGGAACCCCGTCGCATTCACCAAAAGTCAGTAACTTCTCCATGCTAGCCACCGTCGAATGCCTATGCTTACAGCTTTTTTTTGCAGCTGAATGGACTGCTGTAACCGACCCGCTTGTGGAGGGTATCATGGCAGGAATGGTTCAAGGTTTTTTTGCATGGAAGATCTGGGTGTTAACCAGGTACGTTATATATATCCTTCAAATTGTCAAGTTCCGTTTCTGATTAAACTTTCTGATTATAGGAACTATTTCTACCTCGGTGTGATCGTGCTCTGCACATTGACATCTCTTGCCGGCAGCCTAGCGACAAGTATACTCTGCTTTTTAACTGCCGGATCTGCTGACTGGAATGGGCTTCGTTATGAAGTGGGCGCACCCATTTTTATATGGCTTATTCCAGCGACACTTGGGGACCTCGTCATCACAGTCATTATCGTCATATATCTGCAACGAGCAAAAGGTTCCATCAAACGGACCAATCGTATCTTAGATAGAATTACCCGACGTGAGTTTCTTGTCCAACTGAGATATTTTTGCCGTATACTGAAGCATCTGAGTGAACAGTGACGATGCAGAATGGTAAGTCCCATACTCTTCCGTGTACCATGAAGTTTAATGCGATCGACAGGGTTTCTCACCGCCACCGTCGCCCTAACTGATGTAGGTTTGACTCTCGGTGTGAAGGCAAGTGTTCAATCCGAGTCACTTTTTCCTTCCTACTTATCTTTCCGACAGAGTCGGCCTTACTATCTTTGTGCGGGCTCTCCAATTTCTGTTCTGTTTGACCATCCTAATCATTACCTCCCAGGGGTCGTATATATCTTGCCTAAACTGTACACAAACTCAGGTACGCCTATCTACATGTGTTGATTCAGTGACGCCGACAGTTATACAGCGCTTTCGAGTCTTAACGCGGTGCGTAAGATGTCCTCTGCAATAATTATGTACTATATACTCACTGTGGACGATTCAATCGTGTTTAGCGCCAACCCCACATCCAGGATATTGGAGATGAAGTGGCCTCTATGAACATGCCGTGGAATAATCTCGAAGTACGTATTTTCTCAAAATATTTTTCACCGTTCTGACGATGATTTATTGTCCGTTGTAAGTTCGATCACAGGGAGTCACTGTAGGTTCAATTTTCTTGTTTCCCTTAGCATCTATCCTCATGAGGATTAACAGGTATTCATAAGCGCTGAGCATGAGAGTCATGAGATGAGATACCCTCGTAACCCGAAAAATGTCAGCATAGCCAGGTTTTTGCCAGACGAACAAGACGTTCCGAAAGACCGTCTGACCCAGTCAGTGCAAACATAGGCCAAAAAAATGCACGACGATAATAGCGAGAACTACGAGTCTTAAGTATCGCTACCTTCGACGATCTCTTTGTCTTTGTAGTAATAATCAACGATGTAGTCTAGTCTAGGCCTCGGTATTCAAAGTTTGATATTTACGCAAGCTCACTTGTCATCCAATCTTCAGCGGGCCCCTGCGAGTACGGTAGTAGGGTCCGAAGAGCAATATTAACCCATTCAGTAGCCATGGTGCTCCAGGGACAGGAATACAGGGCAATCTGCAGAAAACTACCCACCAAGTCCCGCTGTTACCGACAAGTAGTCGCTAACGCATAGAATGCATAGGTGGCAAGCCCTGCGGAATAGACAAATAATCCTTGATGTCGCAGTGTCATCGGTTCTGAAGAAACGCACCCGGGATTTATCTGACGCGACAAGGTGTTCCCGTCTACTATTGAACGCACCGAAGGGCTAAGGGTGGTTGGTTCAGCACTCTACTAGAGGACTTCGGTCATGTTATTGCAAAGTAAAACAACGCCAGCGTCGTCCAGCTCGCTAAAGCCGTAATAGGGCCATCGACCCACTAGTACGTCTAACATCCGCAAGGGTCTCCGTTTCTCCAACCGAGCCGTTCATCATGTTCGGATTATCACCAAACTCGATGGGTCCCAAATTGGATACACTGTTCGATGGTCATTCCGAACGATTGCCTTTGTCCGCAAAGGTAAACACGGCAGTCTCGTTTAATTCACCTTGGCGGCTGACGAGAAGGATGACTATGGTTGGATAGATGTCCCGGTTCGAACGGTCAATCTAGCTGGCTAGAACGAGTACCAGTGAGTACATACCGCGAACTGGACACTGACAGGAGTGTAGAGGTCGCCGAGGGTGCCAAAGGGAAGTCGAATTAGTGTGGCAATGAGAAGCGTTATCTGGGGGAACTGAGAATCCACTGTAATTAAAATCATTGGAGGAGTTACATACTCCGGAAAGACAGTAAATGATCCCGGACTCGGCGAGCAAGGTGAAAACTCGTTCCGCGACGGTTATATTTCTTCGCTTCATCCGAGGCTCGGACGTAACCCAGTGTCTATGACGCCTAGTACCAATAACAGATCAGATCTTATTAATGTAACAAACAACTATGAAGCAGAGTGCAGACCTAGCCTTGATTCCGACAATTGAAGTAGAGAAAACGTTGGTCAACAATGATAGGACCACGTTTGCTACTTGGCAGTAATCAAGCGCACGAGATAAACCGCTATGACTCGTCGTGACGATCTGCTGGTTGATGGTAATGGCAGTTATTGTGATGCGCAATCCGATTGTAACAAAGACGGACACTGTTAGTACGTTGATTGTGAGCGAGAATTAAGATGACGGCATAAGAACAAGAGCTCACAGAGAGTCAAGCATAAGAACACGAGAGGAAGAATCAGACTTTTGCTATACTCGCCTCGACAGAGTACCCAAGCCCGCCAAACGACGACGCCATCAGTTAACACATACTATGGAGCGTTAGACATAAACTCTTTAAAATTACAGGAAATAAATACTCACGTTCAGGAGGACAAGGGCATTCATCATGTTTTGTCCATCCCGGCCGGGGGTGAAAGCTATTTCGTCCAGAGGGATGGTATGCGCGAATGCGGTGGTAATGATGAGCACGACTTGATGTAACGATAGGATCCAATAGGCCGTTGAAAGGGAGAACATGAAAACCAGCATGCAGAACAGCGAGGTACGTGATCTGCTTCTCAGACCTCTCTTCCTACGTAGAAAGCTATCAGTTGTAAGGCCAGATGCTAACAAAAGAAAGGGACACACAGCATAATATAAGAACAGGTCGACATGATAATTATATACATGCCTGCGTGCTAAGGTTTAGATCAACTGTTCGACCAGGAGAGAGGCGGTGCTCACCATAAACTAAAGTTTGACAAGTTAATCTTATCGTATTATATAGAATACTGAGCTTGGTATTCGTCATGGCAGACGAAGGAAGGAGGGGGAGGAGTGTGCTGAAACCCTCGTATATAATAGATAAAGAGCGGCCGGCAGAAACCAGTCTAGTCTCTACTCGAGGAAGATCGTCCCGTATTTTCGATGGGATGCCTTTGAAACACATGTTGATAATGATTTCGACGCTCTAGGGTATACTAAGTACGGTCAAAGAGAGGTGAAGCTAACAGAATGATTAAAAGCTTCTGGTGCATGGCTGCTTCTTGAGGGATGATATATATCCGAAGTGATGCATTGATGCATTGCCATGGTACGAGTCATCAAAATCCGATGACTGAAGACAGTGCCACAAGGCCCACAACTGCAACAGTAGTCCTGGATTCGAGTTGAAGTGAAGAAACGCATCAGAAATTTGATAGCTGCGCACTTCGTACATGCTCTTTGCAGTTAGAACTCGGAAATCGAAGGTAGGGGAAATCGTCGTAGAAAATCAGTTGTGGTTGAAACTTGAAGCTGGACTGGCCCGATCGTCCGCTCCTTCACCAACGGCCATGGAGGCTATACCATCCATATTATGCAGAGTGGCCCTGTAGTTACAGTGCAGCCCGGTATGCAGAGTCGGAAGAGCTGCGCACAACGCTCTGCATACTCAGGGTCCTGTAATTTTCCCACATCCTGATTACGCCACAATACCCTCCCCCACCCTTCGCCCCTCTGCCCACAGCCCCAAAAACACCGGGCACAATCGCCAACGATTAATTATTGACATCATTTTGGTGCTCACATGATATTCAATGCTCCCATTTTGATACTGGCTGATACTGGGTGGCAACTGGGGTATTGAATTTTCCGCCCTTCTGCTCATTGCCAGGGGGGCCAAAAAAGAGCGGGCTCAGAAAATATTATTTGATATACTTACTAGTACTCCTTCCAAAAGTTCTACACCTACCCTTACCATATATTTGACTGAATGCGCATCGGCATGGCTTGGATGCACAGACTGTGGGAATATACCATTCCCAGATTGGTATACGGTTTGGAAATTGCGACAGCAGGCGAATTTTGGGATAGTAGACAGTATATTGCACTTATTCAATTAAAATATGACAAAAGAAGCAGTGTATGATTGCTCTATCTTGTTTGTGTCATATAATGTATGGATACTAAGGACAAGAAGTACTCCGACGTTTTCCGGAGTTTGCCGAAACACCCCTAACCCGCTCACAGTAAGCAAATAGGTCGAGATTGTACAGTCCCGAAATTCTCTCAGTGCTTGTAAATATAATTCACAATGTCTATTAGCTTCTTTAATGTTCTATGCATCTTCTCTGTGCATGTTTTCCGTTCTGTGCTTATGTAGACATGAATTATGATCTCAAAAGTATGCCAGAGGCATGTGTAAAAAGTCATACCTCACAGTACATGCTTAAATTGAAGTATATTACCCAGAGAGGCATGGTCTGTACTTATCTGGAGTGATATGTGTCACAATGTATATCTGCCCTGGCAGAAATATACCTCGGTCAGACAAAATTGCACCAGATGAGATTGTGCAAGTAATGTTCTTTTATGAGTTCACTTCAACGAGAAATGCAATTACAAGGCACGTAAAGGCAGATCGCCATGGATCGGACACCTGCTTTGGATAATGTAATACATAAAATTTTATTTTCAACCATTCTTACCCTTGGAAAGGTTGCACATACCTGTGTACAAATGATGCATCCTTGAAATGTCCTAAAATGCGTGATATTCACCATAAATGGCAGATAAATCAAGGTTGGGATAGATTATATACTATACAAAGTACACAGATGTATACTAGATAATTTCTATAGTATATTCCGTTAGCTTTTTGGGCTTCGGAGTAAAGGATTCGAGCAGAGGATGCATCCCGAGCATCCATTCCGCTCGCTCGATCGGTCCGGTCCGGTAAACCGGATACTGATCGAGTGGCTGTACCCCTCCTTTTTTTCGTCTCACCTTTTCACCGTCGATCCATGGTGTAGTTGCCTGCCTGCCCCCACTGCTCGTTTGAATGGAAATAAAGGTATATTAAATTACTTTTAATGCTAATATAGGTTTTACAGGTACTTTTGATCCATCTGGTGGCCCCTGGATGGCCTGGATATCGTGCATCAAGCCCCACTCGCCTGCGCGTAAGCCCTCCTGCAAGGCAGCATAATTTCCCCCTTCCAAATGATGGAGAATTGCACTACCACCATCTCCCTTTTACTACAGCCCCCGACAATTCTTGCCGCCGCCATTAAGCCCCGCCCTGTTGCCGTTGCGACCTACCTAGCATCCCCCACATCGAAATCGGGGCCAATCGCCATTCACCATGGCTTCTGAATGCATTAACGATGCCTCATTCACTCGATAACTCAACATCCGCCTCCATCTGCTGCCAGGAGGGCGTATGGATGCAAAGCCAACCATCACGACGACCAGGACGACGACGACAGTGATGGCGTGAGGGGTAGGGAGGACTCGATTATAGGGCATGAACACGCCAAATAGCGGGCTAGGGATGGAGTGGAAGCAGGGGTGTGCTAGGGACGGGTGGGAAGGCGAGAGGGTGTGGGCGGGAGGGCGAGAGCAAGGTCGGGATGCTGACGGTGAACGACACTGATGACGACCATGTCATTCGAGGCATTGAATGTTAATGAGGGTTCAAAGGCGTTGTGAACGAACCCACATTCATGGCTACGCGATCACGGATACCCCCTGCCGCCACCTGCTGCATCCCGTCCAACATCGGCCTCCCGTACGCTGCCCAGCTCACCCACCCACCTCAAACTCATGCATCCCTCATTATTTGGACCGGGTAACATGCATCATAGCTCTGTTTACCCCCTTGATGCCATGGTCGTCGTCTACCGGCTCCCTATCCCGACACCCACCTTTCCCCGCTCATATCACCCCCATAATAACGCAACGATCACTGCGCCATCGATATCATTGCTTCCCTCTACATGAGGCTTCATGGATGCTATCGATGCTTACATCCCGCCACGCCCGCCTGCACCGCATTTTATCCACATTTTGTATGCTGTACTATATTTTAACTATATTCATTTTATTTGATAATAATACGGGACAATCCCTTTTAGGCAGGCATCGGGAGGACGACGAGAGGACGTCTCTTCATCGTTTGCAACGATGACGGCAAGGTGAAAGGACACGAGGGCAATATACGAATACGTAATTTGAGTATGCAGAGTATGTGTCTTGGGTATGCAGAGTGGGTTTCTTGGGTATGCAGAGCGCATCTCCCCAGCGCCACCGTCCTGTAGTTACAGGAGACTCTGCATACCGGCTTGCACTGTAACTACAGGAGATTCTGCATACTGTGGACAATAAAGGTTGGGCCATGACCACCGATGCCGCCTTTTTCTCGGATGCCTGTCAGATATTGGGAATCTCATAAAGGGAAAGTATACATCGAGTTCCAAGGACTCCGATAGTATAGACCAAAGGCGCATTTATCCAATTGTTGATACAGGTTTGTGATGACCTGGCGATTTCCTATTCTTCGTGCTCACCAGATGGTCTACTGATGTGTCTATCCTCTTTTTCTGACTTTCCTCACTCTGACGTGAGCGCAATAGGGCGACTTAAAGGGCCAACATCTAAGAGCCAACATCTGAGATTCGAGAAAGGTAGACTCTTGGTAAGGATATCCTTTCCTTTCGCCAATTCCTAGCACCAAAACGCGTACATCTGATGGAAATTTCTACCGGAAGTAACCGATTGAGTTATGTTGGTCGGCCGCGTTCGTTGTTCTTACTCCGACCGTCAATTTTGCGACGCGCGTCACCCAATCGCTCAAACCCATCTTCACCTGGTTCCCAGCACCAAGTAAATACCATGCCTCACTGTTTCTTTCTGACCTACTTATCTGATATCGATCCTTAGAATGCCACAACGCTCCAAACCATCAGGTCTCCCACAAGAAATTCTTGATGCCATCATTGACGAGCTGCAGGACGACAAGAAATCTCTAAGGCAAGCATCTTTAGCTTGCAAGGCCCTTTGTCCCAGGACCAGGGACCATCTGTTCTCTGTCGTCGTAATATCAGGTAGCTCCGGTTTTGACCGCCTCCGGAAGTTGATCACACTGTCTCCCAAGCTCGCCCTATATTTCAAAAGGCTTCAAATCTCAATCTTGCAGATGTTGGATATCCATGCTCCTGCAGTTTATGGACCGCTGACAGTCTTCAACAACGCTTGACGTATCTCGTATCCAGAACATTGCAATCGCCACCTTCAGGGCGCATTTAGCTCGGGGAAGTGATATATTGCGGTGGTGGATCTCCAACCTCTCTGCGGTGAATAAACGCAATGACATTCGTTCAGTTACCATCACAATCACAACATACACGCCGCACCAAGGACGCCCGGCTTTGGATTGGGGAGACCTCCGGATGAGGTTGGACAGCTGTTTGACTTCGTACAAGATGGCTTCGCTGCAGTACGTTGCAATTACTTTTGATCCACGGCCAGCAGGATGGGATGCGCTCAAAGCTCAAATGGAGGAAATTTTTCTAGGGCTGAAGCAAAGCGGACGTGAAGTAATTCTAGATGCTGTGGCAATGTTTTAAAATCTTGGGTTCTGGATAGTGTACGCGTTATGCTTCTTTCGACCATCAGTCCAGTGTTCTGACGTGACTGGTAGTTTTTCCAAGAAACATATCCTTCGTACTATGTACCTACAATCGCCGAGATCATTGATCTTTTCCATCCATAAGCCCTGAAAGCCTTCTCCGAAACTATACTTCGTTCGCGTTCAGTACAGTTACAGGGTCCTTTGCATATACTCTATGAAGAACCAGTAATAACGATGGGAACAATGCTTAGTTGTACAAAAGTCCGCACGGACGAGTGTTAAAAGATCAAAGAGAATTAAACCCGGTAGCACATACGGGATACAAAAGGCTCATCGTACGCTACGATAGCCAGGAAAGTAAACCAGCCTTCCGACCAAAGCAGTCGGTCCAAAAAGGGTGCAATCTGTCCTAATCTAACAACGCCTGCGCCGCAGCCGAACGCGCCTTGATCATGCATTTGAAAGGCATGGGAAAACTACGCTCGAATCAAAACACGCCATAGAATATCCGGCACGGAAGACCTACCTCACAAAAGCGCTCGTATAGGTATTACTCGGTTCAATGACCCGACCTTCAGAATCCACCGCCTTGGAGAACGACAATGTCGAAACCATAGATGCAACAACAATCCAAGCAGTATTTACTGCAAGATAACGGCCGGGACAGATACTATAATAATAGTATCATTAAGGTCGTTGAACGTAATTACTTTACAGGGTGCGTACCGTCTTCCAAAACCAAACACAGCTGTGGGTTCAGGTTGGACTTCTTTACCATCTTGGGGCATGAACCGGTCGGGATCGAATACCAGAGGGTTAGGATAGTCTTTTTCGTCATGAAGTATGGCCCTACATCGTCTGTCAATCCGAGGGTTCGATATCGTAGATTAACTTGTGACTGACCAAATATTGCCAATAACAGTGGCGCCTACGGAAGACTGATAAGCATTAACTGACAATATCAACGGAATCGGAACGTACCCGCAGGGATATAATATCCTCTGTAAACATCCTCTTCCATGGTACGATGAGCAATACCTGACGTCAGATTTTATGAACTCAAGCATACTCGCTGATCTGAAAGCATATACCCATCGGTGCAGCAGGGTTCCATCTCAGTGCTTCCAACACGATAGCATCGATATACGGCAGCTGCGGACGGTCATCGAAATTCGGTAGGCGGGTGCCGTGACCAAGCACCGCGTCCACCTCAGCTTGGGCTTTAGCTTGTACTTCTGGGTAAAGAAGGAAGGCGAGCATCATGGAAAGGATGACAGACGCGGTCTTTGCAAGAATAAGAGATTCCGAACGATGCACACAAGTGAAAACCTACAGAGCCAGCTCCCGCTAATCGAGGCCCGGGCATGAGATCAGATGCTCAACAAACGTCGAGGATCACCTACCAATAAAGGCAACCACAGCTATGTTCCGTACAATTTCAGGGTGCTTCGCATCCTCTGACACCTCCTTCGTCAGATTTTCCCCTACGAATGAAGGGGGTGCGATGCCCTTCACCTTGAATAAGCGTCAATACGGATCACAATTAATATCAACCAACAAGCAGGGTCATACCAGCGACTCCATCGTATATTTAAACGGCTCTTCTGCCATATCATCAATGTCTTTTCTCCACGCGGACGCAAGACTCAAGAACTTTGTGCCAGGCATCCATTCTCAATGACGCCATCTTCAATACGAACCTCAGACTGGCAGTTAAATAACAGGCGCACTCACGCGGAAGGTATTGCAAACTGGGAATGTAGTCGACGAGGAAGGATCCCACATTCCCAGCGGCGCGACCACTTTCCCGAGCTTGATCCACCAATTCTACGAAGTGATCACCATTTGGGTCTACATCATATCCGTAGGTAGTCTTCAGGATGATTGAACCGGCAAGGCTGGAGGGCTGTTAGTTTCCAGCAACCAAGATACAGGGATACGCCCAGCTTACTGGTGGACATGCTTAACATATGCATCGGGAGATCTATGCAACTGTTGGAGCAAGTCTAATGTGGCCTTCATTTGCACAGGGTAGTACGCCGGAACGGCACGAGGCTGGAAGTACTGGTGAAACATTCGGCGGTGTTTTCTGTGAAGAGAAGAAGGAAGGAGAAGAATTAGACCACACGGCGGTTGCACTGACCTCCACCTATCAGAATATCGCATAAAACCAAAGTTGATGTCCCATCCTGACAGCTTTAACATGGTGAAATCTGCGTGACATTTTCAACTCTGAAACATTGAAACATCATCCATCTTTACCTGGCCTATCGGAATAATTCCCAGAACGTTTTTCGAAGAGATCCGCTGCTGCCTGAGCCGAGTTGATTATAATGGTCGGATTTCCGGGTGTGTCCAGATACAAAACGTCGCCGTAGGTGGCAGCCCATCGCGCATAGGTAAGCCATGGGTAGTCTACGGGAACATCCCAGAGGTTCCCTATCAGCGGGAGTCCCTTGGGTCCAGGAGGGAGAGGTAGAAATCGACGATTAAAAAGGAGGGACAAACGATATAATACCAGGGCACCAATTAGAATAGACACTAACAGGAGAGTCGAAAACATTGGGAAGGAGTTGCAGTGGGTCGTTTCTCCCTTCTTTTGAGTCCTTAAGAAGCTTGCCTATCATTAGAGAATGACTTATTTTTGCTCTCTGTTTACTCACATTTGAATGGGGGCCGATGATAGGTCCAACTGAATATGAATATGTGCTTATTATGGAGCACCAGTTCGTATAACTCGGTCCAATGGACATATTGGCCTCTTGATAGTGTTGCGTCGTCCTAGTGTCAGAACATGATTTAGAGTAGGTTGGAAGAGACTGTGCGCTAATGGCGTATGTCGATTGAAGGGGAAAACAACCATAAGATGGGTCTGTCTGCTTCTATGCGAATTGCAGCCGTTCCGCACAACAAAGTGACATGAATACAGTTGAATCAGCTGGACATTCATGAACCTCGAAAGTATTAGCGAATGGTATGGATCGATGTCAGGTGGATTAGGGTAGGGTTGGTGGCAGCGGTGGTAGTGGCATGAGGATCCAATCAGGAATAGCTAGAGTCGCGGTCCTGACATGGCGGCGACTTCAAGTCAATGGTCATCGGCCGGCTGAGGGAATGAATACAAGGGAGAGGTTGTAATGGCCACCAGATCCCTCTGCAAAAAGGCACGGAGCATGTATATGCCTGATACAGAGTCGTCCGAAATGGTAGTGACATATATGGCAAGGACGGCAAGATGTGCATCACTATCATCCGAGGCTGACGCCCCGTAGTAGCGCTCCTGGTAGCCCCGCACTAGCATAACGTAGGTCAGAAGTTGGCGGAAATGGTGAGTGGGTAGGAAAGCGATCGCTAAGGATGTCTTGGAAGGGTCGGAGAGGAGACGCCAGAGCTCCTGGTCCTGATCCCCAGCGACGGCAGAGTCCGCAAGGTTAAATATCCAAGGTAACGCAATCGCAAGTTTTTGCTGCCACGATATCGTACGTAACAACCCTGCCAGTCTTGGAGAGAATATCCCGGCGTGATTTTAGCATGCTGGTGCTGTTCGAACCGATCATCTACCTGTATGCAGTCGCTATGCGAGGTTCAGTAAAAGAAACTATCAATTTTTTTCAGCACTCACAGGACGTAGAATTGAATGCGCAGCCGTTTCCGTAGTCTCCCCTCCACCTAGACATGAAGATTTAGCGTGCCGAAAGTTGACTGGCCCGAGATGGCTCACGTAGGACTGAGATATGTTAGGCGAAACACGTCTCTATGGTTTCGGTGAGCGCTTGAGCTTGAAACACTGGTCGATCGTGTCTGCAAAAGAACAGCCTCAGAGTAGACGTGCTTTTCTCCTCATATTCGAGCGCGAAACTGCGGTTAAATTTCCCTCCTGAATTCCATAAACCCTGCTGCTCTATGAACCCATGCCGCCGGTTTTCCTGCATCTGGTTGATGCCAGTCTTGAAATAGCATGCCATACATTCCGTGAAGATCCTCAACGATGGCCACAGAGCCAGAAGTTGCGAAGTCGGAGGTCGGACTATGTTTTGAGAAGAGAGATCGCAGTTGTGGTTGAAGGTCAGATTGGGCGCCGGCCCGAACAAGTCCGCTCCTTTGGCACCAGCACCCACCATCACTCAAGCCGCGTCGTCCTTACCTCACTCTAGAGGATATACACATTGACAGTGACTTCAGTTATAGTAGTGCTATCCAGGATAATGGTGCTCAGGCATGGCGATTTCTCATACTTTGTGCTCCGCAAATTTACCAAGCATTGCTGCCTTCTACACGGTAAATACTACTATTCCTGCCGCCCCAGAAGATATACCAATTCGACTGCACTCTTGTCGCAAGAATCCTGGCTTCTCTACATGATATAACTCTCTTGCTTCCATGGAATGCGAACTTTCCGTCACCAAGCACTGGCTGGAACGGACGATGTCAACCCTTACGGATTCTAGGCGATGAATACGGTGTGAAATGTTGTCGAGGATACTGTCTAGACTATTTACCCCTTGGATAAATCATTCATGTACCAGGCTCTGAGATGGTGGATTCGACAGGGAACGATCGTTATATCGTCCTCAACCAACCGCATAGTGAGAGGATTTTTATGCAATACCTTCGCTATCCTGCTCATGTCAGCACCTCGCTCAAAAGTTCCCGATGATACTTGCCGCCAAGGACATAACTGATAGTCGGAACTCATTAACGTCTAGGTGCGGCTCTGAGTATGAATGGCGGCAAGTATCGCAGTTTCTGTGCAGGGCTTGTTATGACAGTCCGTCTGGGTAAGAATTTGTCTATCCTGTACAACACTGGATAATAATACCGTCTCTAGTTGCATCTCCTCGTTCAGGACATATTCTGTTCTTGTCATTCAAGCTTTGTGAAGGGATTCTTCCTGTGTCGCGCCCAAGACACCGTGGAACCACATTAAAACCGAACCTTTTCTCGCTATTTTAGCCGCCGTGTTTTGTTCAAGGCTCTCTTACTGCAGTGGTGGTTGTCTTTCTCATATCCTGTGACATTGGACGCTCAATAATGACCAGGAAGAATATGAAGACGACAACAATCACGGTCAAGATGACGACCCGTCGGTCATTATCGCTCGAGATCACTGCGGATTCTCTGTTTCTTTCGAATGTTACAGCATTGAATGTTGATCTACTTTACCAGATGGTCTTAAGCTATTCTCACCTGCGATCGAAACGGATACACCGTGTTAATACCTCGTCAGTAGTTGCCTATAAATTGTAACATTCCTCACCGTTCATCCCAGAAAATACCCCGAGTTTCGACAAATGCCAGGACATCGGCGAAGATGCAAATAATCTTGTTGATTGATCAGGCTCATAACAGTCGGTGGTGGAAGTAACGTCAAGAACCAGGACCGGGCATGCCATAGATGCATTCCGGGTTGATCGTCGCAGTAAGGTCTTCCTGAAGGGAATTGCTGTAGTCCCCGTCTACTATGGAACCTATCGAAGGCCCGAGGGAGGTTCGTTCAGCACTCTACTGGAGGATATCGGTGATAGCATAGAGACGACGCATGGCTCTGACTGTTAGCCATGCAAACTGGCAAGTCATCAATCAACAGCTGAAGCTCTTTTTCACCTCTTTGCAGGATCAACTTGTGCACTTGGTCGAGGAATTACACGACGTACGTACTGCACAGGTCTTTGGAACCACGTGGTGTGTTGCAGACTTCCGATGGCTTTAAGGTATTCGACATTCAGAATTGCGTCGGTGCGATCGTTGTTACTGCAAGAAGAGTTAAAAAGACTGGACACCATATACTACATTCACCCAAATCAACCCACTTTCCATACCCTTAATCTAAAATATACTTTCTACAGAATCTGTCGTCTTTCATTCCTGGAAGCATCCGAGTTTTTCTCAACAACTTCGATGATTCAATAGGTCCGGAAGTAGCCAATTGGTGTTCTCTTACTCTGCCACGTTCATCGTTTGTCTCTCTTACAGCTATCATCTCCGCAAGACGTGTTGCTCAGCTTTGCTATTGGCAGGAACTCAACTCCAAATAAGTAGCAAAGTCTCAATTCTTGCTGCTTTGTTCAACCTACGTATCTAACATTTTAATTATCAGAATGCCAATATCGGATCTTCCACCGAAAATTCTCGATGCCATTATCGATGAGCTGCAGGGTGACCAGAAAGCTCTGTGAAGTAATTCTAGATGCTGTGACGAGCTTTGAAAATCTTGGGATCTGGATAGTGTACGTGTACGCCTGATGCCTCTTTCGACTATCAGCCCAGTGTTATGACATAACTCAATAGTTTTTCCAAGAAACATATTCTTCGTACTATGTAACTACAATCACCGAGATCATCGATCATTTCCATCCGTAAGCTCTAAAAGCCTTCTTTGAAATATACTTCGCTCGCGTTCAGTATAGATACAAGGTATCTTTGCATATACTCTATAGAGACGAACCAGTAAAAATGATGGCACAATGCTTAGCTGTACAAAGTCCGCACCAACGAGTGTTAAAACATCGAAGAGAATCAAACCCAGCAGCACATGCACCAAATTGTGGATACCAAATGCTCACCCGTACACTAGGAACGTAAATCAGACCTCCGACCAAGGCAGTTGTTCCAAAATGGGTGTAACCCGTCCTAATCTAATAACGCTTGGGCCGCAGCCGAACGCGCCTTGATCAGGCATTTGAAAGGCATGGGAAAACTATGCTCGAATCAAAACATGCCATAGGATCTCCAACGTGGAAGACCTACCTCACAAAAGCGCTCGTATAGGTATTACTCGGTTCAATGACCCGACCATCAGAATCCACCGCCTTGGAGAACGACAAAGTCGAAACCAGAGATGCAACAGCAATCCAAGCAGTATTTACTGCAAGATAACGGCCAGGACAGATACTATAATAATATCATTAAGGTCGTTGGACATGATTATATTACAGGGTGCGTACCGTCTTCCAAAACCAAACACGACTGTGGGTTCAGGTTGTACTTCTCTACCATCTTGGGGCATGAATCGGTCGGGATTGAACACCAGAGGGTCAGGATAGTCTTTTTCGTCGTGAAGCATGGCCCTACGTCGTCTGTTAATCCGAAGCTTTAATATCATAGGTTAACTTGTGACTGACCAAACATTGCCAATAACAGTGGCGCCTACGGAAGACTGATAAGCATTAACTGACAATATCAACGGAATCGGAACGTACCCGCAGGGATGTAATATCCTCTGTAAACATCCTCTTCCATGGTACGATGAGCGACACCTAACATCAAAACTAATGAACTCAAGCATACTCGCAAATCTAAAAGCACGTACCAAGTGGGGCAACAGGTTTCCATCTCAGTGCTTCCAACACGATGGCATCAATATAGGGCAGCTGCGGACGGTCATCGAAATTCGGTAGACGGGTGCCATGACCGATGACGGCATCCACCTCAGCTTGGGCTTTAGCTTGTACCTCCGGGTACAGAAGGAAAGCGAGTATCACGGAAAGAATGACAGACACGGTCTTTACAAGGATTAGAGACTCCGGACGATACTTCGGAATGAAAACCCACAGTATCAGCTCCCGCTAATCAAAGCTTAGCATTAAATCAGATGCTCAACAAGGGCGGAGAAATACCTACCAGAATAAGCAACCGCAGCCGTATTCCTTACAATTTCGAGGTGCTTTGCATTTTCTGACGATTCGTTCTTTGTTAGATTTTCCGCCACGAATGAAGGGGGCGCGTTGCCCTTTGCCTTGATTAAGCGTCAATATGGATCGCAGTTGATATCAACCAACAAGCAAGGTCATACCAATGACTCCATCGTATATCTAAACGGCTCTTCTGTCATATCCTCAACGTCTTTTCTCCACGCGGACGCAAGGCTAAAGAACTTTGCACCAGGCATCCATCCTTAATGACTCCGCTTTTAGTATAAACTCCAGGCCAGTGGTCAGATAAAAACATACGCACGCGGAAGGTACTGTAAACTGGGGATGTAATCAACGAGGAAGGCTCCGATGATCGCAGTGGCGCGAATGCTTTCATCAGCCTGATCCACCAATTCCACGAAGTGATCACCATTTGGGTCTACATCATATCCGTAGACAGTTTTCATGATGATGGAACCGGCAAGGCTGGAGGGCTGTTAGTTTCCAGCGACCAAGCTACATGGATACGCCCCGCTTACTGGCGGACATGCTTGACAAATGCATCGGGAGATCTATGCAACTGTTGGAGCAAGTCTAATGTGGCTCTCATTTGCACAGGGTAGTATGCCGGGACAGCACGAGGCTGGAAGTATTGGTGAAACATTCGGCGGTGTTTTCTGTGAAGAGAAGAAGGAAGGAGAAGAATTAGACCACACGGCAGTTGCACTGACCTCCACCAATCAGAATATCGCATAAAAGCAAAATTATTGTCCCATCCCGCTAGCTTTAACATGGTGAAATCTGCATGATATTATCAATCCTCAGACAGTATAGTATCATCCATCCTTACCCGGCCTATCAGAATAATTCCCAGAACGTTTTTCGAAGAGATCGGTCGCTGCCTGAACCGAGTTGATTATAACGGTCGGATTTCCGGGTGTGTCCAGATATAAGACATCGCCATAGGTGGCAGCCCATCGCGCATAAGTTAGCCATGGGTAGTCTACGGGAACATCCCAGAGGTTCCCTATCAGCGGGAGTCCCTTGGGTCCAGGAGGGAGAGGTAGTCGTCGACGATTAAAAAGGAGGGACAAACGATATAATACCAGGGCACCAATCAGAAGAAACGCCAACAGGAGAGTCGAAATCATTGGAAGGAGTTGCCGTGGGTGATTTCTCCCTTGCTTCGTGTCCTTACGAAGTCATATTTATCACTAGAGAAGGGTTTATTTTAGTTCTCTGTTTACATTTGAATGGGAACTAATGATATGCTCACATGAGTGTGAACATGTGCTTATTATGGAACACTAGTTGGCATAGCCCAGCCCACCGGACATACTGGTCTCTTGATAGTGTTGCATCGTCTCTGTGTCAAAACCTGATTTAGAGTGGGCTGGAAGAGACTCTGCGCTGATGGCGTATGTCGACCTGGTTGAAGGGGAAAACCAACCATAAGATTGGTCTGTCTGCTTCTATGCGAATTGCAGCCGTTCCGCACATCAAAGTGACATAAATACGGTTGAATCACCTGGATATTCATGAACCTCGAAAGTATTAGCAAACTGTATGAATGGACGTCAGGTGGATTTGGATTTGTGTTAGTGGTAGCATTGGTAGGGGCACGAGGCAATCAGGAATAGCTAGGTCGCGGTCCTGATACGGCGGCGACTTCAATTCAATGACTGTCGGAGAAGAGATGTCATGACATTGTCCTTGACTTGTCCTCTCCTGGTGAATGGAATGAAGACAAGGCAGAGATTGTAATGCAAACCGGATCCGCGGCAAAAAGGTGTGGATGACGTGGATGCTTAGTGCGGTGTTGTCTGGAATGGTAGTGGCAGATATGGCAAGGGCGGCAAGAGGTGCGTCACCATCGTCCCTGAGGCTGATGCTCCATAGTGGCGCTCTTCGTGGCCCCGCACTGGTAGGACGTAGGTCGGAAGTCGACGAAAATGGTGAATGGGCAGGAGCGCGATTATTCGACGATGTCTTGAGTTGGTCTTGAGAGACTCGGAAGAGATGTGGTACCAATCCCTGATGATAGCAGACTTCAAAAGGTTATGTATCCAAGGTAAAGAGATCACAAGGTTTTCACGATATAGTAACGAACTCGCTAGCCTTTGAGAGTATGACCCGGCGTGACTGTTAGTATGCTGGTGTCATGCTATTCGAACCGAATACCCGCATATATGCGGTCCCTATGCGAGGGTTCAGTAAAAGAAACTATCACTTTCTTCAGCACTCACAGAACATAGAATTGAATGTGCAGCCGGTTTCCGTAGTCTCCCTCCACCTCGACATGAAGATTTAGCGTCCCGAAAGTTGACTAGCCCGAAATGGGTCGTGTAGAAGCGAGAAATATTGGGGAAAACATGCCGTCTCTATGGTGGCTTCGGTGCTTGAGCTTGAAACGCTGGTTAATCGTGTGTGCAAAAGAACCTCATATTTTTTTCACCAACTTCCACAGAACAAGCGTCGTGCTTCTGCCTGGCACACATTGATCCTCCTCTTCAATCTCATCAGCGTGACCGAGTAAAAGTTCGGCGCCACCACCACATGCATACCAAAACCTTAGGCAGCCTAGATCGAAGATGACGTTCTAAACTCTGAAAGTTGATACGTTCAACGTGTATACGCAGTCCTCTAGCGAAGCTAGGGAAGGTCTGCTAACTTGAAGGCTTTTTGGATGAAGTCGACTGGAATGTTACGGGCTTGCTATGGTTCGGACATGCAGGTTATTCCTGAGGATGTTGTTATTTTCAGCAAATGTAGATAAATGACGAGGCAGACCTGAGTTGTTCGCAAGAGTATCAGCCTGAACTAAATCCAGCTGAACATATCTGACATCGAGACTGTGCTCCCCTTGAATTCAGCTCTAATGTGACACGACGTTGTGGTCAATGGTGCAGCGTCAGTTTCGAGACGGACACAAGCGCAGCACTGTTCATGACGCTCTTCAACGACGGAGTCAGAGAGATGGTGCCGCAGTCCACATGGATCCTTGAGCTGAGTCTGATGGAATAAATGCGTCGCCAGATAATCGGAATGAGAGAAAATGGTTGTCGTCGTGGTTGAAGCTAAGGTTAGACTCCCGGCCCGAACAAGGCCGCCGCTTTACCCTCTATACTAACCTCGAAGTCGCTAGTGATGTCGTTCAAGGAGCTGACTATTCCGCGGACCTCCCCCAGTTCATTTCCTCTCGTTTCATGTATTCTTGCAACCTCCATTGGCATTTATCACTCTGTAAAGCCATTGCAGCGTGACAGCCATATTTCTTGACCCTTCGTTATCCCGGGTCGACATCATCTGCAGCTGATGTCAGCGAGCGCAGCTGGTCTGCGACGATCAGGATTACGGTAGTCGGAAGGATTCAGAGGGAATGTGCATATTCGCTGTCATTTCGGACTCATGCACTAGTAGATAATGTTGCTACGACTGTCATTACTTCTCACAACGAGCCATCGAGGTCGGTAGGAGTAGTTTACTTCTATTTACCTGAGCTGTATCAGCGGAGATGGCCAATCAATCCAGTTTTCCAGTTTTCTATACATCTTCCTCACCTCACCCTATGTCCTACGAACCCTAACCACAATTCCAGGCTATTTCAATTTTCATGCAACACAGATTCGTAGGCAGGATATGCAGGGTGATGGTACTCGAGGTGGGGTGATGAACGTAGCATGAAAATTGTCGAAGAACATCGCCCAGACTATTTATCCCTTTTTTAATCTGTGCACCAGGCTCTGAGATTGTGAATTCGACGAAGAGCGATCTCGATATCATTTAAATGGTGAGAGTTCATGTCAGCACCTCGCTTGAAAATCCTCGGTACTACTCGAAACCAAGCTGGTGCCAAGGGCATGGCTGTGAAAGCACGTACATTCTCTGCACTATCTGACATCGGGATGAAGCTCGAACCGCGGATGGCGGTGAGTCTCTAAGCAAAATTTCTTAATCAAAGTCTTATGCTATGACCTCGACATAATTTTGCAATGGTCGCCATCGCCGTTTTGTGAACTTATTGCGCTTCTTTCTCCATCATTTAAGCTAAGCTTCAGGCTCAACCGTCGCAAAGGTGCCTTTCGTGACACGGCAATAGCTACGCAGAAATTTATGAGACTTGAGTCATTCTTCGCGTCATTGTTCTGTTCAAAGATATATATAACTTTTAGCCATGCCAGATCTACGGCTTCGCTACAGTGTGTGTATTAAAATACTAACGAACGGAAGAATTCAGAAATTTGCACAAATGGCGGTGGTCTTGACAAGAGAACGTTTTGATCAATGCTTGCAGGCCATCCGTGGCATACCTATACACGCGACTGGGAGACTTCTCATAGTCATAGAAGGATCTGTAACTGTGTTACAGATTTATTATTAGCCCATCGAACATATCTCTTAAGAGAGAAAAGACCTACGGTGCTGGAACGAGCCAGAAACGTGACCGGGGTTGCGATTTTGGCCGCGGTGGCGGGGGAGGAGGCGGAGGATGGGCCCGGCGCCACTTCTCCATCTGCACCGAGTTGGCCTTCGTTATGTGATCCATCAACGCTTCTTCTGCACCCTCCACGGCGGAAAGCAGTAACTCGGAGCTTTCAAACTTGACCCTACTCCAAACCTCCGCTGCCGCCTTCTGATCAGGCCATGCACTCAAAACCTGAGCCCAATCTAGGATGGACCGTGCCAAGTCGGGTTTCGACGATGCCTTATCCTCAGGCTTCTTTACTGGGGGCACCCAATTCGGGTCAGTCAGGGGTCCTCCATGGGCTGCACGCTCAGCAAAGCTGCGAAGGTTTGCGTCCCGCTCGTGGTATTTGTCATGGAGGATGTCATCGTCAAAAGGGAAGTCTCCGGCATCTCGAAGGCGACGAAGCCAGAGCTGTGCATCACCCAGTCCCGGGAACAGATGGTTCACGGCATCTAACGCGTCCCGTTTCGACGTCTTCAGCCCTTTTTCGACGACTTGGAGAGCACGAGTGCGAAGTTTTTTGTCGGACACCTTGGAGAGATATTTGACGATGATGAGGATGGCTGGGGTGTGAAGGGTAAAGTTTTTCTTGGTCAAGTAATCGAGCAGACGGACGATGTCTTCAGTTTGGGATGCTGCTGCCAGTATTTCCGCCGCATCCGAGTATCAAATGAAGGGCTTATCCAAGAAGAGTTCTTTTTTGATTGCCGATAGTATAGAGGGCTTGATGTCAGGATACTTTGACACCAGAGAGGTGTACTGGTGAAACGATGGCAGCTCGATAAATTCGGCAATTCGGTGGTTGTGACGTTCAGCGTAGAGACGGCTGGCAACAGTCTTCATTTCTTGCGACCAGTGGTCGTCCCAGAAAGCATATCCATCCTCGTTTTCTGGGTCTACACCGCCGTCAGTCAAACGAAGAGAAGACATCCATGATGCAAAAAACGTACCAGTGGTATCCTGACGAAACAGACTGAAGACCTGTTCATAGTCTTCATCGTCCCTTATGACCTCACAGACCGAGACTGGGAACCCTCGCATCGCTGAGAATACAAAAAACTCCCTCCACATCCAAGCCATATAGTCACGAATGGAGTGACTTTCATTGTATACCGTTTTGTTCTCTGAATTGGCGATGACTAGTCTTTTTGTCAAATCAAAGTCCCCACCCCTAATACCAGAGTATTAGCATCTCGTGTGCATGATAAAACGGACATTTTTACGAACAAGGAGTTCGCAGACGACGAGCAAAGTTTCATACACTTGCAGGTAAGCTCCATATCTGCATTTTCTTCAGCCATTGAGAGCCATACGTCGGGAAGCCAGTCAACAACTTCCTCCATGATCCTCTCCATCAGCGGGACTTGCTCGTCTCCTTCATCGTCTGAGTCGTATCTCTCAATGGTGGAGAGTTGTTTGCTCAGGGATCCCAGAGTTACACTGTGAAACTCGTACTTGAGGTCACTGACAGCCTTCTTCCCCATCGGAAGAATATCTAGAAGGGAAACGGCAATTTCACGAAGGTTTTGAAAGGCTACACGGTTGTCCGGGGTCACTTCGAGTGTTTTTGCCATAGTCAACGCGTCGGTAAGAAGGTCGTGAAGCCGCTGTACCGATGGAATGTTAGTTTTGGCATTTGGTGTCGAAACAACGCGTCCTTTCTTCGCTGAACGCGCTGCTGGAGCTGGAATGGTTTGGTTCCGGATTGCACCGGTCGCGCTACGCGTTTTTCGTGGAGAGAAGGACATGGTAAGCGAAGTGTAAGTTCCAAGCCTGGGAGAATCCCCTCCGCGACGTCGGCCATTTTAATACCGAACATATTCAGGTCACAGTTTTCCACCTGGAAGCTGGAACTTGAACGTGTTGAACATACGGCCCAAATGATCCGAACTCCGACGGCAAATGCCGAACTCCATCTTGTCAAAGGCCAGTGCTGAATTGATGCCACAGTCAGAACGGACCGACCAGATTCGCGACAAATTCCCCTCAAACGTCTGTAATAAGGCATCAGGTGAAGGAGAGAGAACTGACCGGTT